TGGCATAAATTGGACCAAACAACAAAACTTCGGTATAAACTTTTATTAATAAATTTGAATTTAATCAGCTGTAATTCGGCAGCCGAATAACCCAATTTGGACTAGTGTATAGTACTATTGATATCACATTTCTCATATCAGTTTTTTTTTTAATAGAGGTAATTATAATACAAGTAATACAATCAGATCCAAAAAAAATCAGAATTTTTTTTTTTAAAAAGATCACTATAAGTTATACAATTGCCACTCAATTAAAATTTTTTTTATATAAAAAGGGAAACCAAGGGTTGTGTGTTATGTTACCAGTTAATATTTTCTTAATATTTAACTAATTTTGTGAAAAGGGCCTCTAGAATGTTGGTTGAAAGAAAAAACCATTAACGTAAGATTCTATTATATTTGTAAGAAAACAATATACATAACACAAAAAAAATATATGCACTTATGAAGTTTTCTTTTTCAACTATCTATGAAAACTTAAAAAGCTTAAAAAAGTCGAATCTAATGAACATGCAGGTGGAAATAGCCAGCCAAAAAAGATTAATGAAGCTTCTTCAAAAGTGCTTAGGCAGTACATTCATTGGGACAACTTTTTATTAACAAGAAATTTTATAGTTAAATTGTTAGAAAGAGGTATAGAGGTGTTACATCAAACTATTGGATGACATTTAAAGAAAATTGGATATTTGAAAAACCTTCTATAAGCCACTCCTATGTTTACCAAAGTGTATAAACAAAATCGGATACTATGGGCACAAAATTATCTTAGTGATACATGGAACAAACATTTTTTTCTGACAAAACTGCATTTGAACTCTACTGGAATACTGTTAGACATTGGCACAAGAATGCATGATCACATCATAGTATGCTGAAAAGCTGGATAAAGATCTTCGCTTGGGTTCTGTATTAGAAAAAAATCAACTTTATTTCTTTTTCAACAGATCATGAATACAAGTTTTTACATGAAAATTCTTTGTAAATGTGTTCTAGAGATTAAAAGAATACTTGGTGATGAGTAGCGCTTTCGGTAAGATAATGATCTGAAATACACAAGTTGTTTGGCAAAAGCTTTTATTAAAGAAAATATGTCAAACATTATTGACTGGCCATCAAATAGTCCTGATTTAAATTCAATAGAAAATTTATAGGATATTGTCAAGGGCAACGTGGAAAAACATATGTCAAAAAATCATAATAAATTGGAATGGTATATTAATGAAAAATGGCAAAAAATTCCAGAATTGGTTCTAATTAGATTGGTTCGATTGATAAGGCAATGTTGCAAATTAATTATTGAAAGTAAAGGAGAACGTATCTCATATTAAATTTTTTTTTTAAAAAAATAAATTTAATAAATTTCGTATAAAAAAAATTTTATATGATTCCATATAATCATTTTTGTACAATAAAGAAAATAAAATTCCAGTTTTTTTTGAACCAGACTGTATATGGATTTACATATGTTTTTACTTTCTCTTGTATAATTCTAATATGTTTTTTTGAAATTACAGAGAAAGTCTTATGATATTTGCAATGATTTGCTTAATTATGAAAATATTTTAAAATTAAAATATATATTTCTTTGTCATATTTAGGAATTACACGATGTCTTTCTAATATTGTATTATTTTTTATAATTGATTGAATATAAAAAAAATTGTTTTCATCTATTTCAAATTTTTTGTAATGACAAATAAAATTGTATTTTTTATAAGAATCTTGTTGAAAATTATTTGATATGGTTTTTAATTGAAGGTATTTAACAATAGTTTAATATATTTCTAAAGTTTTTAAAATTTTTAAAATTGTAGATGTATTTTTTTATTTTATTTTTTTATATTGTTATGTAACATTCAGAAATTTTAAGAAATTTGATATCACATAAATATTAGTATCATCCTTGACATTTATTAATTTTTATATAATAGTTTTTGAATAACAAATAAATAAAAAATTTTAAAAAGGTTTACAATATATTATATTTATAAATTATTTATATAACAAAGAATAGCTATTTAAAAAAATTTTTTTTATCTTTTTAATAACTATAATTTCAAAGATTGAAATTAATTAGACTTATATAAACTTATATAAGATTTAGAACACTATTAAAAATAATAGTAGATTATAATCCATATATTAAATTTAACATAAATTGAAAAATTGAAAATTGAAAATCAAATCAAATCAAATCAAATTAAATTGTTAAAATTTTTAGTAATAATCCAAATTGTATTTTTGTCTTTAAGTTAATAAAATAATTATTTTTTTAAAACTTGTATCTTTTTGTAATTAATTAAATATAACTATTGTTTAAACTGTTATAATATATTTAAATTTTTATATAGAAAAAAAACATAGTAATATTTAATTTTTATAGTTTTCTTTTATATAATAACAATATTAACAGTATCTTGATATATTAATTTTGACAAAACCATATGACAAGTTAATAGCAACAAGTCAATATAAAAATAATTTAATATAGCTTAACTATAGTTCCAAAAATTGAAATCAAATAAACTTGTATAGACTTGCATGAGGTTTGAAACATTATTAAAAATAATAATAAATTATGATCTACATATTTATTTTAATATAAATCTGAAAATCAAGAATCAAATTGAATTGAATTATTAGAATTTTTAAGCTTAACATGTATCTAGAATAGTTTATAAATAGTAATAACTCTTGTAAAAGAAATACAAATGTAAACTAAATAAAATATATTAGGTAAGATCTTACTAGTTAAATAAAAATAAAATTAATAATTTTATTTTAATAACAAAAATCATACATGTTTTTTTGATTATATTTAATATATTAAATTTTTTTTAACAGTGTTTATATACTGTAATTATAAACAAAAACTTTTTTTTTTTTATAATAAATATTAAATTTTTTATTGAAATTCAGAATTAAAAACCTTAATACAAAGGCCGCAGAATATCAGCTGTACATTAAACCGTTCGATTATTTTTTTACTTTTATATGATCATAAACATTAATTTGTTATTTAGTATTAAAAGGTACATGTTAAAAAGTTTTTTTTATTGATAGTCGATACATAACCTCAGCTTTTCCCCTTTTCTATGATGACAGTTATAATACACAAATATTACTCACATGTTATTTGATTTATGATTTTACTCAAAACAACAGTATCCACGAAATAACCACCGTTAACACTGCACTAAATCCTGGGTTAATCATTTTCATGACTCCCGAGTTTTTCACTGAACCCCCCGTCACACTAGTACCTCCGCTGGAGGTCGAAGATGGTGTATTATTTGTATTGGTTGAGGGAATCTGACTTAAGTCGGTATACGAACACGTTGCATCTTTACACATGCATACACCTTTTATTGGATCCCACCAAGCGGTGTCGCACGTGGTGGGAACACGAAATCTGTTACCACCGGACGGTACAGGATTTGCCGGTGAGGGTTTGGCGCTGGGACATCCGTAACATGTGCTCCATATTTCAGTATTGAAATTGCAACTCTCAGTTAAACCGGCGTCGATTTTTCCACTGCCAGTATCATCAAGACCGTTACAGATTTCAGTACCAACCTTAGGGATTTTACATTGAAAAGGTTCGTAGGTGTTCAATTGGCTGACAGGAACGGGATTTTTCATCCAAGCGATGAGCTGCTGTGAAGTGACGAACCAGACGTTGGGTTGTGCGATGGCCCAATCCAAGAAATCCTGAAGCATTTTGATACGCGGAGCGGGGTCGGGACGACCGGTAATGGCGGTAAGTTGGACTGGGTGAATGTAGAGGCCTTGATTATTATAAAAGGGTGAATAGGAAGGATGTGAAAAATAAATTTAATAAAAATAAAAGAAAATTAATAATGGACTTAATAATGGAATTAAACATACCGAAGGGAACTTTCCCCTCGTTAAGGTGACGATTAAAGTTATCCTTTAACCATTTTTCAACTACATTTGGTTCGCCATCGAGATAAGGGTCCATCAAATGAGATACACCAGAAGAATCTAATTTTTTTGATTCGTCAGTAACGGACGAATAACATTCTGACATGATCATAAAGAATTAATAGGTAAATTACCCAGAATAGACGACATGGGAATTTCGAACATGCCAGGGTGTTTCGTTGTTGCATTACAGAATCCTTTATCACAATCATGAAAAAGTCCGTTGTCCAGAGTATAAGGCCAAGAGTCATCACTACCCACCGAGGTAACTGACGAATCATACAGAAAACCCTGTTCAGCCAGGTAGTTAAACGTTTCGGGAGTGTAATTAAGGAATGGTGTACGAAAACCCAACATTTTTCCGTTTGGGATACCAGCAAAAGAGTTGAGAGCTTTCTTATTCCCTATTATTTCATCTGTTTATTATAAAGAAAGTAATTAAACAATAATATTTGAAAAGAAAATTGGGATTATGTAATAGGAAGATGAAAGCACCTTCTGGTGGTATCGCGACGTGGGTCATTGTGTGGTCGGCCACTTCGTGTCCGGAGGAATACCATCGGGTGACCAACGAATAATCAGTATATTGTGTACTAACATAGTATGTACCCTTAATTGGACATCTGAAAAAGATTTTTTTTTTTGTCAGTGATTTGCATTCTCTGCCCATTCCGTTGCATTTAAAGCATCGGATCTTTGGATCACGTGTTAATTTGAATGCCTTACCCGTTTGGATTTTTTCGATTTCCGAGTAAGGTTTCCACGACTACACGAAAAAAAAGGTGTTTATTTGAGCGTGTAATGAAATCAGATAAATAAAATAAAAAATATTATTATGTTCTTCCTGTACCAGTTAGAGTACTGTTCTGAATCGAGTCATCTGTTTATTAGGCGAGAGTCGTTAAAATGTAATAATATGGAAAAGATGTTTCCATGATATTTACATACCAAAAGTAAAAGTAAAGAACATTGGCGTCTGATTCAGAGCCAATCCACCAGGAGGGTTAATAGAAGGGCAAAAACAATTTGGTGGTAAACATTTGGTTGAGTCACAGCTAAAGGCAGCTTCCACTGTGCAAGGCCCATTGAACGAGGTTAGGCAAACACAGATAAGCAAAACTTTGAATAAATTTTTTCTCTGCATTGCGATTCTCTTGAAGATGAAGGAGAAGGATTTTACCGATGAAATCGGGAGAAGGGTTACTTTTAAAGAAATTGGATTAATTCACTTGACTATAATAACGTCGGTCATTCGTTATTATTAGAATAATTCGCGGGTTAAAGGATTAAATAAAAGAAATTAACTAGTGTGATTTTTTTTTTCGCTTGATATGTGATCTGAATTTCGTGATAGAATCTTTTTATTTATAAAGTAATAATTAAATTGCTATTTTAAATACGATCAATTCTCATTCGTATCTTTCGTATTCTTGATTTGATTTTTTTTTTAAAAAAACCGTATGTATACGATAGTTTAAAAAATGTCAATTAGAATGTACTCAAAGTGCATCATTGTTTAATGCACTTCTGCGAGGTTATTAGTTGTCTTCTAAGGTCTTTTTTTTTACACATTAAAGAAGTTAGAAAATACATATATCAGATTTACCATTCCAATCATGAGTGATAAAGTAATTAGGAAATAGTAATTTTAATTAATTTCCCTACTATATTTACGCGTGCACTAAATTAAATTTTCTATATTTGAAATCACACTAGTTTAAAATGTTCATAGAATGCAAACACACATATCATCAGTTCTTTTTAAGACTTAAACTATTCACCATGCATTAAACTCGTCATTCTATAATTCTCTAATGCACGTTATCTTCCTCCTTAAAATCAATAAACCGTTCCTTCTCCTTAAATTTAATCAACTTTAAATTGCAAGTTCTAATAAGTACAGTTTCTTTTTGAAATGATGCTCTGGAATCAAATCACTTTTACATTATTATTCTCCAAGACTACTGAAAAAAATCATCCAAATTGCTTGCATATGATCTGCAGCCAAATATAACTAGAAGACGTATTTTTTTCTTCTCGGCTATTGTCCGGAGCAAATAGGACAATCAGTATAATGATGTTAATCGGTCCTTGTCTCTGAGATGATTTTTCATTACGAGTTATCAATGAAATAAGTAGCAATTTTTTAACTAGGATTACTTATTAAAGATAAAATGCGATATCAGTCGATTCCAACAAATTTACAGGTTTAAAATAATTTTCCTTTGTAGCATCCTCAATTGGTATGAGTATTGTTTATATGAGCATTATTTGGGTAAGGGCGACAAAAACTGGAATAACTTTTCCCATAATTTACCGATCTGCATCTAGTTTCAAAGAAATTTTATATTTCTTTGTAATAAAGTCTATACACCTTCTTTAACAACATTAATATCTAGAAGCTCTAGTTTCTCCCTTCTTGTTTCTTTCTCTTTTTGATATAAACTTTCTGTATTTCAGTAAGTAAATACAAGAAAAACCTATCTACAAAGTCAAAGGCAAAAACATTTTGTTAGGAAAAAAAACTTGTAAAAAAACCATTTTTTTTTTTTTCAGAGGTTCAAGACTCTAGAGAAGATTATCATTGATTTTTGGAACTCTTCTTTTATCTTCCTCAAATTTTTCTCTTATTTTCTCAAGCATGTATACTTTTTTCTGGTTTTTCTGGAGAATTTTGCCTATTTCAACTTGACCCTGAATTTTTTATTATATTAGAATCCTTGAATAATAATTGACTCGAATTTTGAACTGGTTGATCTATACATAACAAAAAATGTAAACAAGACATATAATTCCTATATATCCTATCTTGCACAACACAAAATCTGATGATGCTATTGGATATAGTGAAAAGAACAAGATGATGATTTGTTTTTTTTGTTAAGAAGTATTATAATATTTTCCCTTCTCTCTTGAACTGGTTTCTTTTCTTTTCAAAATCAAAAAAAATCTCATCCCAATCCAATAAAAAGTTTTCTCTATTGTTGATTATTCCAAAAATAATTGAAAAAAGTGGTTTAAAACTATCCACTAGTTGAATAAAGTTATAAATTCTTGAAGATTTGGCTGAAAGAGAAATCATTAATTGAAATATCAATCCTCTTTAAAGATTAAATAAAAGTCTTTAAGTGTAAAGTTTTAAAAAATAATCTTTTGAAAGTACTCTTAAATATTCTTGATCAATAATGGAATAGTGGAAATTAAATGATTACCTAATTGTAAGTAATAATAAAGGATTTATCCCAATAGATTGAAATTAATATTGGAAAGTTTTTATTTATCAAAACAAACTTTTCAATTATTCTTTTTACTTCACTTTTTTTTTAAAAAAATAAAAATTTTTATCTCTTAGAACTACAGGTTCATTTGAAATAACAGTTTAAATATAGGCTGGCATTAATCTTTCAAGATATAGATTTCTGATACCTTGTCTTAAAAAGAAGCAATATTATCATTTCTTACAATCACATCTAGAGAGTTTGAATTTAGAAGGTCTAAGATAGTTAATATTATACAGTAATAGTTTAATGAATCTACTCCCTTATAATGAGATAGTTAGTAAATAATTAAATCATGTAAACAATATGATGGTCTTGATATTAAGAATTTAAGAATTATGTATAAATCTAAACTTATTGACAAGTGTTCTGCAAAATTATGCTAGTTTAACTTTAGTATAATATTATATGTATTGTATTACTATATATTGTATTACTATTTTCCAAAATTAAATTAATAAATACTTATATTTGCAATTTGATTAAAGGCAAAAAATATATATATGTATATATGTATATAAGTAATTTGAATTAATTTAATATAGATGAAAAAATACTTAAATTATTATTAAATAAAAGAAAAAATTTTTAATATTACAAATTATATTGAAAAAAAAAACTCTTTCTGCTGATCCTTTTGCCAATCCAAAAAACAGACGTTCTCAAAAAACTTTTTGTTTTTATGATAATAAAGTCTATACACT